TGAAAGCAGACGATTTAATTATAAACTTTCCAGATTTCTGAAATTCTAAGATCATTAAAAATAATGAGAGCTAGCACTACCCTAATCCACAGGCCTCAGATGATCATGATACATCCTTTGTGACTGGATATATTGTTGTTCAAACAATTTGTTAATAAGAATTGTATCTTAACCACTACCATATCTGTTGTATCCAAGCCGACATGAAGAGCCCTGCTATAGAGTAAAAAGTCTCGCCGACATTGGCAGAATGCAAGAAATCAGAGGGGGGTGTTATAATGGAGTTCAGTCAAACTAGATTAATGTCGCAAGTGGAGTACCTAAGGGCTTATTGTTAGGACCTTTGTTTTTTGTTGTTATTTTTTATTCATATCAATGGCATAGATAAAGGAATGGTCAATAAATTGTTTAAATTTCTTGATGATATTAAAGTTTTGGGTGTTGCAGAGCGCCCAAGTGGCTCAGCGCTATTTCCCAGACTTACAATGCTAAAAATCGGTTTTCAATACTCGTGGTGGGCATAGCACAAATAGCCCATTATATAGCTTTGCGCTTAACAACAACTGAACCGAACTCTTGGGTGTTGCAAGCAGTGAAAATAGAGTTTTAATTATAATAAATGCAAGGTATATATACATGTGGGATATCACAGTTTGAATTAGATGTATACTTTTGATGGGAATGACCTTAACAGTGTTATATAAGAAAGATATCTTCATGTTCTGGTTAATTAGTCTCTTAAGACACCCAAGCTCGGTGTTGTTGCCAGTGATAGGGGCAAATAGGATTTTTAGAGTGTATCTACAGAAATAAGAATACAAGTCTAAAAAAGGCCATAATGTCATTGTATAAATCATTGGTTAAGCCACATTTGGAGTATTGTATTCAATTTCTGGCTCACTATCTTAAGAAGGACATAAATGGTTCACAAGAGAGCTACTAGGATGGTACTTGGGATGAAACAGTTATCATACTAAGATAGGTTAAGATCTCTGAAATTGTTTTCTTTTGAAAAAGAGAGAGTCCTTTAAGGGAATTGGTATTGTTGATGCATCATCGTGTTTCCTATTTAATGGGGCCCCCAGTGGCATAGGGGTATGTCTGCGGACCTACAACGCTAGAATCCGGGTTTCGATACCCGTGGT